TGTGTGGCTTGAAAATGAATTGTAGCTAAATGCTATCGAGATGATACACACACACATACACACAATCACAAACACGCACACACACACACATACACGCTCAAGCACCTATCTGTCTACCTATACATATACATGCATACATTTATACATATATACATATATATGTGTATGTGTGTATATATATATATATATATATATATATATATATATATATATACATACGCGTGTGTGTGTGTGTATGTATGTATGTATAAATATACATATATGTATGCATATATGTGTGTATATACATATATATCTGTTTGTATATGTTTGTATATATATATATATATATATATATATATATATATATATATATATATATATATATATATACATATATATATATACATATATATATATATATATATATATATATATATATATATATATATATATATATGTATGTATATGTATGTGTTTATATATAGTATGTATATATATGTTTATATATGTGTGTGTGTGTATATATATACATATATACATATATATGTGTGTATGTATGTATTTATATAAAAATACACACACACACACACACACACACACACACACACACACACACACACGCACGCACACGCACACACACACACACACACAAACGCACACACACACACATACACACACAAGAGAGGTACATTAGAGGCATAGTGGAAGAGGTGGAAGGCCATTTTGCCCAAAATGACCTTCGACCTGCTTTCCGAGCCCTGAGGGAACTCAAAGTCCATCTCTCAACTGGCCTCGGTGAGGGCAGAGGATGGCCGCATTGTGTCAGAGCCGGGTGAGTATAGGGCCCGCTGGGCTGAGTACTTTGAGCAACTGTATAGAGTAGATCCCGTCTTCACAACTCCCGTTGGCTGACACACAGCCACTAGTGGCTGATCCACCAATCAGTGAGGCACCACCTTCCATCGAAGAGGTGAGAAGGGCGATCTCTAGGCTGAAGAGTGTAAAGGCTGCTGGTGTCTGCGGATTGCTGCGGAGTTGTTGAAGACAGGTGGAGAAGCCACGATCTGTGGCTTGCATGCAGTCCGAGCACAGAGACCTGAGCAGTCTGGTTCCACACCCAAGAAGTCAACAGTAGACCGTGTCTTAGCACTTTGTGTCCTTGTGGAACGCCGACTTGAGTTTCAACGAGGTATGCTTATATTGATCTCAAGAAGGCTTTCGACTCCGTGCACCGGGAGAGTCTCTGGAGCTACTGGGTCTCCGTGGGATCCCCCCTGGGATTATTGGTTTGCTGTCTAGCCTGTATACAGATACCGAGAGTGCTTTTTCTCGGTGTCTGCCGGGGTGAGGCAGGGATGTGTCCTGGCCCTAACCCTTTTCAATACTTGTATGGACTGGATACTTGGCCGTGTCGTGAACCGTAGTTCCTGTGGGGCAGCAACTGGTAATTTCAACGTCACAGACCTTGACTTTGACGATGATGCAGTGATTCTAGCAGAGACATTGGAGGTCCTGGAAGATGCTCTCGAGGCGCTGCATGAGGGGGCGAAGCCATTAGGGCTCTCGGTCAACTGGAAATTGGGGACTTATTGGATGTCGATGTTCAGTCTGTGCATGCCTGTGGTGAGAACAGTGAGGTCTTGGATAGCTTCACTTAACTTGGTAGTGTCGTGCAGAGCGACGGAGGTTCCGACCGAGAAGTCACTCGACGACTCGGACTGGCCTACGCCATTATGGACTCACTCAATAGTAGTATTCGGCGCTGTCGGTATTTGACTAGAAGAACTAAGATTACGCTCATCAGAGCACTGGTGATAACGGTCACCAGTTATCACCATGAACAGTGCTCTGAAGGCCCGTCTTGACTCCTTTGGTACTAAGTGTCTTCGCAGAATCATGGGGTATACCTGGAAGGACCATGTGTCCAATCAGAGGATACTCCGTGAGACTGATTCAAGACCTATTACCAGTCTGATAGGAGACCGCCAACTTCAGTTCTATGGGCATGTGGCTTCCTGAAGAAGATCTGGCTTATAGGGTCATCTCCGAGAGGGTTGACCCAGGCTGGAGAAGACCAAGGGGAAGGCCACGGAACTCATGGTTAAAGCAAGTCGATCAGATCTGCCAAGATTGATGGGGGTGGGAAGGAATGCTGCATGGAGGCTTGCTCGGAGGGACCCCAGGAGGTGGAGGCAAAGGTTAGGCGCGGCAAAGCACAACCATGCGTATGCGCCCTTATGATGATGATATGTATGTAAGTATATTCATATATGTGTGTGTATATATGTATATATACATATTCATATATGTACATATATACATGCATATGACTGCCGCGATAGCTCAGTGGTTAGAGCACTCCGACCCTCGTGGTCCCGGGTTCAATTCCCCGTCATGGCAGTCGTAAAAATGCCTACGCTTTGACTGCTAGCTCGAGCCCGAGAAAACGACATATCGGCTTGAGAAATCAAACGCAGGTGTCGTAAGGGAAATCACCGTCGTGGCACAAGTGTTAGCG